GGAAAAGCAAACATGTTAGGCAATGTCCTACTTGCCCAAAATATAGTATGAAATTGACAAGCACTGAGAATACCAAAGGCAACAGAAACCCGATATCCAAAATATTTAGTAATAGACGATCGAAGATAAGATAGAGCAAAACTGGTAGATATACCAAGAAAGAAGCGTACTATGAATTTTAGTAATTCAATGAAACATTGTTAAGATAAAAATATCTACTCGAAAATCCAAACTATTTTAAAGACATCGATTACATTTTCCTTATAACTTTCTAATAACCTACCTATATATTGGCGGGTAAATTTACTCAGGTGAGGGATCAGCAACCCTAAAATTTTACTAGTTGGCCAGCTAACTAAACTCAAAAGCAAAGGGCCAACGAAAGTGCGAGGAACGACTCCTGGAAACTCAAAGTGGTCATACTTTTTATTAAAAATCAACCTTTTAGACCCAGCAAGAAGTTCAAGAAAGCAACGTTTTTAAGACTAACTTTCTAGGGCTGTCCGTTATGTACCTTTTTTAATGCGTTCAAAGATATTCCAAACTCCATAATATCATGTGAAGCTTGAAGGTTAAAACTTTCTTCAACCTTAGTGTAAGGACATAGCACTAGGTGCAATGTTATTAAACAGCCAAGAAGCAAGTCATATCTATCCATATCAGCTCTCCCAGTTTTCAAGCACTTCTTAAATAGTATAGCACCAAAAATAAACCAAGAAATGAGGATAATGTCAATTATTTTATCTGATTTGAGAAAGTGGACAGAATTTTAAAAAACAAAAAAAATTAACGCCCAATTTAGGTTGGGTGATTGCCATTTCTTTATAATAATCGGATCCGCATTTATACTGGGTTTTATTGGTAATTGAATATACGGGTGGCTTATGTCTGTAACAATTACGTACTGAGGCTTCGAGCATTGTACACGCTAATGATTGGTATTAGTTATTGCTATGGTTTACCGTACGTGACACAATGCTTAGTCATGACTGGTAAATTCTCCTATTAATCGTGATGATTCTTTTCGATTAATTAAATATTTTTTCATTCATCACTCTCTATTAACAT